TATAAGAAGAAATGGACCACATATATATACCATATATATGACAGACCTTCTGCTCAAAAAGTATCCGGATTTTGTTGTTAACTATTCCTTAAGTAATAGACCTTTTTCAAACATTTTTTTTTTTGTTATGTTGGTACACCTTTTCTTGACATATAGTACAAATTTGAGTGCCATCTTTCAATTAGTTTGTTTACAGCAGCTGTTAATGTGAGACTACCTCAAGTGCATTTAGCGATTTTTACTATGGAAAATTCTTGTTGTACGCTCATCATCGCTCAGGCACCTTATTCGCCAGATCTGAATCCGTGTGACTTTTTCCTGTTCCCGAAACTCAAATTGCCCCGTCGTGGTAAACGTTTTGAGTCGATTGAATCGGTAAAAGAAAATTCGCTGAAGCAACTAAAAACCATACCTTTACGGGCTTACGAAAAGTGTATGGAAGATTGGGTTAAGCGTTGGCATATGTGTATTGCTTCAGAAGGACAATATTTTAAGGGAGATAAAATAAATTTGGAATAAAATTTAAATTTGTGTGTTTTATTTACAAAATCCGAGTTTTTTTTGAGAACCATTATTCACAATAAATAGGTTTTTATCGAACAGTAATAAAATTGCAACAATAAAAGTTTATTTCATTATTTTTTTTATTAGTTGAATTTTTGGCTGACCATACAGCTATTTAGAGTATTGCCAAATACCCATCATGAGTGGTCTCAGTATTCTTTTTTTATTTAACAATATGTCTTTATAATAATTTTGTTTTTTATCAGGCTAATTGGTCAGTAGTTAAATAATACACCTTCTTAAAAAAATTGTTTTTTGTTTTTAAAAAATTTTATTTAAACTAATATTGCAACTATGGTCATCATAAGGTACTATATCTATATCTGTATATGTCTTTATTGAATTGCTTTTATTTAAAACTAATAACATTACATTACAAATTATTTCATATATATATTTATACTACAATGAATTATTAAATGAATTGTGAATTATAATAAAGGGGCAACTGAATAAATAGTAAGAGCTTTTTTACTAGATATCACTGCGCATAAGTTAAATTAAACAGGATAATTTTTAGGAAAGTCTATGGCAGGTCTATTATTTAATTTCATTTCTAGAGGAATTTATCATATTAGCAAGAGTAATAGATAAATAAAATTTAATTTTATTACAAAACTGGTGTTGATTTAAAAATTCTGTTTTCTTGGTTCGTGTCTTAGATATACGTGCTACTGTGTACAGTTTGAAAACACTGAACTGAAAAAATTATAACAGTTTAAAAAAACGTTCGTCTACAGTGGCTAAATAAAAAATTTGGACAAATATTGATGAAAATTGCATAAGATATTATCATTGTGAACAAATAATGAATAAGTAATGTTTTATGAAAAGTTTTTACAGAAATATTTATTTGCAGTCATGAAAAATTCAATATTAATTTAATTTTGTCTTTTTATAACTTTAAAAAATAACGATTAATTCTCCCTTTGCTCATACTCTAAACTATATTTTCATTTTGAACTGTTAAAAATGTCGTAAGGTCACAAAATACAAAGTTACCGTGTCTAAAGGCACTATAGTTACAGCCACAGTTAAACAATGGCTAACATATCTTTGTTGTAGATTATATTTCTGAATGAAATCACTTTCTCGGAATTTCATGCACTGTAATATATTACGGCTAATATTTATATTGCGATCATAAGAAGAAGAAAGACAATCATTTCCAAAGTGGAAATGACTTCATGGACTTTCAACCGATCGATTTTGCCTACTTCGTTCGAGACACGAAAAAAA